AGCCTGGCTCGCACCCCAAAATACCCCTTGCAGTCCCCGGCACGGGCATCGGCACAGACCACCCGCCCCGACCTGTGCAGCGCAGCGGGTGCAAACCTGAATTTGCCGCCCTGGTTTGCTGCCCTCTGCTTGCCCCGCGGTGGCGAACGTGGAGCCAGAGCCGTTACACCAGTGTGGTCTGGCTCCGGTCCGGAGAGTGCAAAGGGGCTTTCGTGGGCAGGAGGTCGCTCAGCCCGTGCAGGTCCAGTCTGCCCAAGCCGGGCAGGCAGGGCAGGCCGCTGTCCTGCCAGATCCTGGGTGCAAAGCCTTCAGTGGGGTGCTCAGCACCATCTCCCGTAGCTTCTCCCACAAGCTGATGGAGGTGGATTGGGAACGGGCTGAGCTGATGGGTCAGGGAGGCTGGTCACCCGTGGTGTACCGTGCTGGCCAGTGCTGCTGAACATCTTCATTAGTGACCTGGGTGATGGGGAGAGAGCACCCTCGGCAAGCTTGCGGACGGTCCTGAGCTAGGAGGAGTGGTTATACACCAGAGGGTCGTGCTACCGTCCAGGGGGATCTGAGCAGGCTGGAGAAATGAGCAGAGGAACCTCATGGAGTTCAACCAGGGGAATGCCAAGTCCTGCCTTTGGAGAGGAACAACCCCAGGCCCTGGTACCTGCTGGAGAGCAGCTCTGGGGAGAAGGTCCTGGCAGTCCTGGTGGGAAGCAACCTGAGCAAGCACCAGGCATGTGCCCTTGTGGCTTGGGGCCACCAGACCCTGGGCTGCGCTGGGCAGAGCACTGAGAGCGGGTCGGGAGAGGATGTCTTGCCCCTCTGCTCAGCTCTGCCGAGACACGTCAGGGTGCTGGGTCCAGTGCTGGGCTCCCTAGTGCAGGAGAGACAGGGACGTACTGGAGTAAGTCTCATGAGGAGAGGCTGGGAGAGCTGGGGCTGCTCAGCCTGGAGAAGAGATGGCTCGGGGGGATCTCATCCATGTGTGTAAATCCCTCATGGAGGGAGTAAAGAAGATGGAGCCAGGCTCCCCTCAGCTGTACCCAGAGGCAGTGGGCACCCTTTCCCATGCCCCTCCTCTCCCCCCGCAGGGTTCAACGTGGAGACAGTGGAGGACAAGAACATTTGCTTCACCGTCTGG